CTAAGTGAACGGTGATTGTAAAAACTACACTGCGCATGCTCAGAGTATTTTTCTATTTAATGTGTGTGGCAAAAAAATAATGACCGTAGGGGCATAGTGCTCCCATCCCCACCATACGTCATCTCACATAATTCAGAATTGATTGGCTGTAAGTACTCACGTGTGCAGTGCTGCGAAACGTCACGTGTAGTTTGAAGAGGAGACGAGAGAGCAGCATATAGCTAACATCACCAGCGATTAAAAGAAGTAAAAAACTGAAAGAAAATGAATGAAGTTGACCATTTACTGGAGCACACATTTGAGACACTTATTCTCAGAGAGAAACTGGAGGTAAAGCGCCTCGGTGCCCACCATCCACCGGATTTCCAAATGGTCCAGACTGCGGGCAAAGTTAAACGTGGGTTTAACGCTGAGTGGTTTGCTAAAAAGAAATGGCTAACGGCGAGCATCCAGAAGAATTCCCTCTTTTGCTTTCCTTGCCTGCTTTTTGGTGAAGATCAAGGTACTTGGTCGAGGACAGGTTACAAGGACTTAAAGCATCTTTCGGAGAGGACAATGAAGCATGAGAGCAGCAACAGTCATTTGGAAAATGCCGTAAAATTGGGATTACTTGGAAGGGTGAATGTTGCAGCTCAGATTGACAGCGCCTACAGACGCGGCATTGATTCTCATAATAGGAAGGTGGAAGAAAACAGGTACGTGCTTGGTCGGATCATCACCTGTATTAAACTGTGTGGGAAATGTGAGACAGCACTGCGGGGCCACAACGAGTCGGCGGACTCTCTGAATCCAGGGATATTCAGGTCAATTTTCGAGACAATGTGTGAGGGCGATTGCAGGCTTCAACGGCACTACGAAGCTCAGCTTGTTTTCAAAGGGACATCAAGCACCATACAGAATGAACTCTTGGACTGCATGTATGATGTGTACAGGGAGGAAATAGCCAAGCAAGTGGACAACACATCATTTGTTGCCGTTCAGGCCGACGAGACAACCGATGTCTCCTGTAAATCGCAAATGGTGATTGTGCTGCGATACATTATGCCTGACCTCACAGTTACAGAGCGTTTTTTGGAGTTTGTGGAAGTAAAGGACAAAACTGGTGTAGGTCTCTCTAACAGCATCAAGGCTGTTCTGGAACCCCTGAAGCTGAAAGAAAAGCTAATCGCTCATGACGGGGCGGCCGTCATGAGCGGTAACGTGCGCGGGGTACAGACGGTGATGAAGGAGACGTACCCAAACGCTCAGTTTGTTCACTGCTACGCCCACCAACTGAACCTGACCCTGCAGCAACTGTGTTCAGCAAGGATGAGCATCCTGAAGGTGTTTTTTGCAGATCTAACTGCTTTTTCCACTTTTTTCTCCGGTGCTCCAAAACGTGTTGCAGCTCTTGCAGAGGCAACACAGAGACGCATCCCACGGCCACCGGCTGTGAGATGGAACTTTAAAAGCAGAACTGTGAACGCGGTTTGGGAGACCCGAGATGCACTACTTCAGTGTATGAAGCATATACGCGCACAACCAGGATGGGATGCGGTCACCAAAAGTGAGGCATACGGCCTGTCAAAGAAACTGCGGGACCGAGCATTTTTCGTTGCTTATGCCAGAAGTGGATGTTCTATACAACACTCTGCAAAAACGAAGCATCGATGCACCTGGGATCAACAGCGCGCTCTGCCGTTTCAAGGAAAATGTTCAGAAAATGAGGCAGAAAACTGATGCATTGGCCGCCACTGCTCATGATGGAACAGACGAGCCAGGCCGACGAGTCAGCAGCACAGCGCCGGTGATGAAGGAGGCTTGTGACACAGTCATCTCACAGGTGGAACAGAGGTTCTCACAGAGTGACCATTTGATCGCTGCAAAGCTTGTTGACAGCTCATTCTTCCCACAGCATGTCCTGTCATTTCCTACACCTGAGCTTGACTGCGCCGTGAAACTGTGGCCTGCGTTGGGAAACAAGGAGAAGTTGAAGTCTGAGCTGACCACGCTCTACCGCCACAGTGAGCTTCACACTGGAAACACTGCCCTGTCTCTGTTGAAATCCATTCACGAGAACAACTTGGAGGAAACGTTTGCTGAGACTGTTATTTTGGTCAAAATAATAGTGACAACTCCAATGACGACATCCGAGTCAGAGAGGAACTTTTCCACCCTCAAAAGGATAAAGACTTTCACTCGCAACACCATGGGACAGCCGCGACTTAACGCATTGGCCATGCTTTCAATTGAAAGCCAGTTGATCCAGCAACTACAGGACTTCATCCCCAAAGTGATAGACACATTCTGTCAGAGGAAGGACCGCCGTGCCGCTTTTCTTTTCAAGTGAGCCTTCAGCTTTGGTAAGTTCATTTATGTCATATATTTTGTTGATCTTCTGTGTTTTGCCTCTGCTGGATCGATTGATATTGTGACCTCGATGATGAGTGTCTGTGTTTTCCTTATATTTACAGTCTATGGTGTTTTAATGCTAAAGCATTACGGTTGTTGTTATTGTTAAGAATTACTTTGTGATGGTGACCTTTACTCCATGTATGAAGGTGCATTACTATGACATCCCCACGCTGTGTACGTAAATGTATGCGCTCAGTGTTGCTCCTGTGGTCTTCAGTATGTAATTTGACACTCCCCCTCTCTCTCTCCTCCCCCCCCTCTCTCTGTCCCCCCTCTCTCTCTCTCTCCTCCCTCTCTCTGTCCCCCCTCTCTCTCTCTCTCCCCCGACCTCTTTCTGCCCCCCCAGTTTTGTACACCTAGAAACGCCACTGCCCGGGTATGTGAAACAACACAAACTACCATTGATCTCATTCTGACCTCTGACAAGTCCAGGATCTCCAGTAAAGGGGTTATAGCCAGGGGTGCACATAACTTTTTTGCCCTGGTTCTCAAAGGAGCACCTGGAGATGTTGCTTGGTGCTCATCCTTAAAATGAAATAAACCGTAACTTTTGAGGGGGTCTTGACTTTATTTGCCAGACACACGGCACTGAACACACGTGAGGTGAACACAGAACACACGTGCAGTGGTGAACACAGAACACACATGCAGTGGTGAACACAAGACAACATTAGCACGACCAGTAATCCTACAAGCTGTCATCACTACCCTCCTGACTGTTCTCCTCACTGTCTTCCTCTCTGTCAGACATGGTAGCTGATGATGTAGGCCTACTACTTTCTCTCTGGTTGAGTCTGTGATTAGCTGCTTGCATCCACAAGTCAACAGCTGGTTATGGGTCGAAAGTCTCTGTTGTCATCTTAGACAAGTGGATGTAATCAAATAAGTATGTGAACATAACCAATAACCTACAGTACCATAGCCAATAACAAATTAATGTAACTTATTTTATTTGTGTTGTTCATTCATATCTTATTTTACCTTAACATTTATTTATTTATGCTTTTTTTTTTATCTCTCCAGTTTTAAAGGATATTTTGGGTTACTGTCCTATAGTATACATTGGAATTATTTCAAACCTGTTTATCCCAATAATTACAAAGGAGTGCCTTGGAAATATGTGTTTACATAAATTGTGACCAAACCGTTTGAATTTAGACTAAGAGTCCTTTACCTCACTGAGCTGTAGTTAACTTATCAGCCTCTCAGTCTGACTGGAGAGGACTCTCCCTCCACATTATTGTAGAAACATCTTCTTCTTATATCCGTTAGAGCAGCTAGCACGGCACCAGATTCTAATAACAACAGCGCTGGTACCGGTGCACCCTCCCTCTCACTCGCATTTTGTCTGTGAGCTGCGGGCGCTAGATAAGCCAACATCCCCCATTTTCATCACTTACAGCGCCCATTGTACAGGGCAAATGAAACGTGTAACCGGGGTGAAAAGGGTGTTACATTTACTTAATTATGAATATTGTTACATCAAGGCCGAAAATTAGGATGAGCCCCAACGATCAAAATGTTTTTTTCCCTCCCAGAACTGCCAGCGCAGCACCTCCCCAGATCTGGCGCCCTAGGCGAACATCTAGCCAGGGCTACGGGCCGGCCCTGAGTTCATATCATGGTTCATATGCAACTCGCAAATATCTTTCTCTCTTCTCTCATCTATCCTCTCTCCTCTATGTTCTCTTTTCTCTTCTCCCTTCTCTCTCTCCCTCTCTCAATGTTGGTACGCAAATGCGCTTTGTTTCAAATGACCCGGTGCTCTTTTTTTGGCGGAGGTGCGCATGCGCACCTGCGCACCAGTTATGTGCAGCCCTGGTTATAGCATGCGGTTTAAGTGATCATTATATGATATTCTGTACCCGCAAAAAGCTAAAACAAAGGGCCGGCTGTCACAAAACAGTCATATCTAGAGACCTCAAAAACTAGAGATGTCCCGATCCCCGGATCGGATCGGCCCCCGATACTGGGTTTTAAGGTGGATCGGGATCGGCAGATCCAATTAAATGTCATGGCCGATCCATAGTTAATATTTCCCATGATTCCATTGTTACGTTGTTTGTCGTTGTTGTTCTATTGCATCAGCCGCCATTATCGAGTTGGAAAAGTGGAACGGACACATATCGTTAGCTAGTTAAAATGTCTGCAGTTTGGCATCATTTTAAAATAACTACAAGTGAGTCGCAGACTGCGACATGCAAAGTCTGTGGTGTGGAAGTCTCACGAGGTGGTGCTAACAGGGTCTCCTACAACACCACAAACCTCATAAAACATCTTAAAAAGCACCACCCCGACGAACACGCCGCCTACTGTAAAGCGACAGCGACTGATGGACTCATCAACAAACACTGCGGGACAGCTTGAAACGAAAGGCTTTACTTCCTCGAGACTCCGAGAGATTTCGCAAGATTACTGAGCTGATTGTGGAGTGCATAGCAGGGGACGACTCCGGTTTTTGTCGTCTAATAAATTATTTGGATCGCGCTATGGGATGCCATCCCTCCCGCCATTACATTGTTGAAAAAGGCATCCCAGCCCTGCACACCTAGGTGCGTGAACAAGTGCAGCAGCACCTAAAGGAGGCTACCTCAATCGCCCTCACCACAGACCTGTGGAGTTCAGGTGTAGCCCCGATGTCGCTCCTCAGTCTGACCGCCCACTGGATAGACTCCAGTTTTACTTTGCACAACGTGGTGCTACATGCAAGTGAGCTGCGTGGCTCTCACACTTCAATGCGTATCCGGAATGATATAGAAGAGATGCTCGCCAAGTGGGACATCGATAATGACAAGGTGCATGTTGTTATGAGGGACAACGCCGCCAACATGAATAAGGTAAGCCTTCTTGTTATTGACCACTGATGTTTAGCTACGCATTACCCACGTCAGTAAAGTTCATGCTAATTCCGTCAACAGCATCTTTTAATGAATGGTCATGGGGTAAACTTCCATTTGATGATTTTGACATGATATACTGGATGTATATTAAATGTTCCCTATTCCCAATTATAATTACGTGTGCCCTGGATTTATTTAAAATGATGTCTAGATAACGTGTCTTTTAGACGGCAACCACGTCAACAGGCTAGCAGAAAAGTTAGCCTAGCTTGTTGTCAGCTAACTCACGTCAGCTTAGCCACTAGCACTAGTTGTTATTGCGACAGCAAAGAATTAAAACGAAACATTAATATCCTGTTTTATGTCTTATCTAAAACTACAGGCTTTCAATACGTTTGTTAGACTTGGAAGTAGCCTACCATATTAATGACAAAACAGCTAGTTTTGAGAGGCTACGCTACCTATCAACAGGAAAAATATTCAGTGCAACCTTTGAGATGTTACAATCTCAAAAGTCTCATCAGATCATAATGGTTTGGAGGTATCATGCAGATGGTGGACCATAGTGTATAAATTACTCACAAATGTTATGGAAATTTCCCATTAAGTTAAGGAAAGTCCAGAAATGTATGTAAGTCAATGAGAGGTAAAGACGTTACCTCTCATTGACTTACATACACTGCTATCAGTTTTGCAACCAGCAGATGGCTGCGCTCTATTTGATACTATTGTGACATCGACTGCTTATTTTCCTCACTGACCAGTATCAATAGGCTATTGATATTCATCTATCTATCTCAAGCAAACATCCTCTCTCCCAATCTCTCGACTGTAGGCATTTGCAGACATGGGGGTGCAGAGCCTGGGCTGTTTCGCACACACACGCCAACTCGTGGTCATCCAAGGCCTTCTCGCCCAGCGAAGCATCATCGATGCTGTCGCCAACGCACGGCAGCTTGTGGGTCATTTTAAGCATTCCCCAAAGGCCTACTCCATCCTCGAAGACATTCAGGTGGTTATCATTTTATTAGTAGTAGTAGTAGTAGTAGTAGTAGTAGTAGTATGTTATCTTTTTAGTAATTGCACGTTCCCCCTCCCTGTCATGTCATTGTAAAGCAATCCATCATTAGGCTACACTAGTGTTGAAAGGATGTTAGCCAACAAATAATTAACCTAAATATAGAAGCATTTTGAGTGGCCTACTAGAAAAGCGATACACACAGCTGATTTATTTAAATTATTATCATTATTATTACTTTACAGAAAGACCTGCACATGCCAACACAACGACTCCAGCAGGACGTGTCAGTCAGATGGAACAGTACTCAGTACATGATGCTGGTAGGCTATATGGATGGAAGGAATGAATGCAAAGAATGAATAGATTTTTTTACATGTCAGCCTAAATAAATACATTTAGATATGAGGTATATAGTTCTACTTGTATTTTACACATGAATGTTAAACTAACATTTATGTACTTATTTTGCAGAGCCTTCTTCAGCAAAAGTGGCCGCTCAGTGTCTATGCAGCGGACCACGACCTTCCATGCATGCCCTCTGCCAACCAATGGGCGCTTATGGAGAAGGCAGTTGTGGTCTTGAGTCCATTTGAAGAGCTGACAAGGGCAGTGAGTGCTGCGACTGGAAGTGCCGCGGATGTGATCCCTGCAATAACTGTCCTCAAGCGTCATCTTTCCCGTGAAGAGAGCACAGATGCTGGAATCAAGACTATGAAGAGAACACTTCTTGAGGCTGTCACTGAGCGCTTCGACTACGCTGAGACTGAACCAATCTACTCCGTTGCTACATTGGTTGACCCAAGATACAAAGATAGGCAAGTCCTGTTTGATTCAAAACTTCTTTTGCGATATATAATTGCTCAGGCCTAATCAATTCACCACTTGATTATTAATTATCAAATAACATCAAAATAAATGTTCCAAATGTTGTTCTATGACATTGACAACAATAACTTTGATATGCTAAGGGAACGACAAAATATGGTAGGAAACAAATAATCCTTTTTAACTAAATGAAATTCTATCCATTTTCAGATTCTTCACAAGTCCAGACCACCAGGAGCTTGCCAAGGAGGCTCTCATTAGAGAGGTGGAGATCATGGAGAGAAAGAGGAAGGCTGGCAGTGAGGTGTCTGCAGAAGAGCCTCCAAGAAAGTCACCACGTCGAGGCGGTGTAGGCTGTGCAGCTGCAAACAGCAGCTTTGTCAGTCTATATGACGAGATCTTGGAGGGGAATGTGGTGGAGTCGAGGCCTGTGAGTACGTCAGCAGTCGTCACTCAGGTGGAGGCCTACCTGGCTGAACAAACCATCCCAAGGTCAGAGAATCCTCTACACTACTGGCGGGCACATGCTACACAGCGACCCGCACTGGCTGATACAGCCATGAAGTTTCTTTGTGCACCTTGTACATCGGTGGACAGTGAGAGACTGTTTAGTGCAGTGTCAAATGTCCTTGATGAAAAAAGGAACCGGTTGACAGCCGATAAGGTGCAGGTGTTGGTTTTCATTAAAAAAAACCTGCAGTACACTTTGAAGAAGTCAGTGCAGTAGATTAAGATGGAGGAAATAAGGAGCTCTATTACACTGTAAAAATGTTTATGTTTAAGTTTAGTGATTACATGTCTCTGAGATCCCTTAATTACCCACACTGTGAAAAATAATAAGTTCAGTTTACTTGAAAAAAGGGTGGAAACTCGTTGTCTCAAATAAGTAACCAAAACTTTGTGTACGTTTACTTTATGTGTACAATTATTGCAAAGATTTTTAAGTTATGGTTACTTACTTCCAAGAAGTAAAGTTTAGTGAAGCTTACTTGTATTTACTGCTGTTAAATGAGTAACCTTTTGAGTTGTAAAGGGTACTTTATGTTGGATAGTAAAGTTTTTTTTAAAATTATTATTGCAAAAAAAATGCTCTTATTTGTGATAGTGAGAGAATAAAAGCTATTGAGCACAGCTTGGGTGCCTGTCTATTTCTTAATGTATACAAAATTAAATGCTGTTTGCCAACGCAAAAAGTGATATCGGAAATCGGTATCGGAAAACCGGTATCGGGAAATATCGGGATCGGATCGGAACCTATATGAAAATATCGGGATCGGAAGCTAAAAAATGAGATCGGGACATCCCTATCAAAAACTACTCTAGCGAGGCCTTTAACCTAGAACTGGAGAGCCTGGACTGGTCAGAGGAGCTCAGTGGTACACAAGTTGAAGAAACATGGCTTGGTTTCAAAAACAAATTCTCTGTAATACTCAATGATTTGGCCCCCCTAAGAACAACCAGGGTAAAAAATCGCGCTGAGCCGTGGATGCACTCCGGCATACTGACCGCCATGAAAACCAGAGACAAAAAATGCTCTGAGTTTCATAAAAGTCAGTCAATGCTTTCCAAAAGCACGAGCAGTGAACTCCAGGCCCACGTGACTGAACTAAAAATTGAAAGAAACCGACTAAGAAATGACGTAAGCTCCATGATCAAAACTGCCAAAAAGAATTTCATCAATGTCAAAACTGAGGAAAACAAAAATAAACCCCGTGAAATTACTCAATAACCAGCTTGGCTGCAGTAAAAAACTCAAAACGAGATTTTCTAACTTAAACATAAAGACAGATAACAGGCTCATCACAGACAAACTGGATGTGGCCAAGTACTTGAACATTTTTTTCACAAACATAGCCACAACTCTTGTAAATAAATTACCCTCCCACTCAGGGCTTTTTGGAGTAGATCACATCATGACCTACTACAAAAACCTAGGGGTACGCAAAGATGATTTCAGTCTAGCAAGGGTAACAACAGCAGAGGTACTCATTAAACTGAGCGCCCTCCAACCTAACAAGGCCACTGGCCACGACAATATCCCCTCCAAATTCCTCAGAGACACAGCAACCGCCATCTCACCAGTCATAGCTCACATAATTAACCTCTCCATAAAACAGGGAAAAGTACCCAAAGACTTCAAAATTGCAAGAGTAACCCCCCTGCACAAAAAGGGCAGCAAATTGGACCCAGGCAACTACCGCCCTGTTTCTATACTTACCTCCATCTTGAAAGTCATGGAAAAAATAGTATATGAACAGGTCGAAAAGTACCTCGCGGAAAAGAAACTAATCTATGAATTTCAATCTGGCTTTAGAACATCCCACTCCACTGACACATGCCTTCTTTATTTGAGCGACCACATCAAACAAGAGGTGGACGAGGGCAAGTACTGCGGCATGGTGATGCTGGACCTACAAAAGGCTTTCGACACTGTCAATCACCCCATTCTGATTGACAAGCTAAAAGCAATTGGTTTTGATAAACTATCGGTGAGCTGGATGCAATCCTACCTGGAGGGGAGAGTAAGCTGTGGTGTTCTACAAGGAAGCATATTAGGTCCGTTACTGTTCCTAATTTATGTAAATGACATGTCATCAGCATGTGACTGCAACTTGTTCCTGTTCGCGGACGACTCAGCCCTGCTGGTCTCTGACAGGAACAGGTTGCAGGTTGAAAAAACCCTCAGCTCCGAGCTCGGCAGAATCTGCACCTGGCTCGCCGATAATAAATTATCATTACACCTGGGTAAAACAGAGTCCATTCTCTTCGGTTCGAAACATAATCTCAGTAAATCCGACGACTTCTCAGTTGCAGTGGGCGACATTATTGTCACAAGTAAGAAGGAAATTACATACCTAGGATCTATTCTTGAGGCAAACCTCTCCTGTGACAAAATGGCATCCAATGTAATAAAAAAAGTCAATCAAAGAACTAGATTCCTATACCGGATCTCCTCTCTGGTAAACAAAAACACCCTGAAGACTCTGGCAGGAGCACTCATTCAAGGGTACTATGACTATGCTTGCACGTCATGGTACCATAGCACCTCCAAGGCGCTAAAAATAAAACTTCAAACATCGCAAAATAAACTGGTCAGACTACTGCTTGACCTTTCATCTAGAACCCACCTCACCTCTGCCCACTTTGACAACCTAGGATGGCTTAGAGTAGACGACAGAGTACAGCTACTTGCAATGGGCCTGGTCTACAAGATCCACTACACCTCTATGGTACCCATGTACATGTCAAAATTCTTCCCAAAGGTCAAGGAATACCATGATCATAACACCAGAGGGAGCTCCACAAATCATGTGAAACCCAGATTTGGCACAAAAAAGGGGGAATACACGTTTCGCAATTATGCCACATCAAGGTGGAACGCTCTTCCCACAACTGTAAAGGAAAGTAAAACTATACTTACCTTCAAAACCTCTCTTAAAGAGCACCTTCGGGGGAGAGCATTGCAAAACTGGCCCCGGTAATGGTACAAATCTCAACCTGTTGTTCAATGGACAGCTTCCCCCCCCCCCCCCCATCTATGTATATACTCGCATTTTAGACTCTGTTACTAACTGTATATCTGTAGACTTGGTATGTCTTAAATGTCCGGTTAGGATGTATTAGAACGAAATCTAAAACGAAAATTGTAAATAAGCAATCTGTATGTAAAAAAACCACCTGTATGTAAATTGTAAATAAGCCATCTGTATGTCAAATATGTCTTATATGTCTTAAATGATATGATGAATTGGAAATGGGGGACCCTGATGTAAACAAGACGAAAGTCTTTCTCTGGTCTGCATCCCCTTAACAATTGTATGTTTTGAGCTGTACTGTACTGTACCCAATATACAAGCTGTTAATAAACTTTTCAATCAATCAATCAATCAATCACACAAAATGGCTCGGGCCACACAGAGCAGAGCTTGAATGAAACACAGAGACCCAGAAGTAAGCTTGTACTCACGAGGCCTATTATGTGCAGAATCCCTCTCGCTTTCAGGTGGTTTTGATTGAGTGTCCACACGTGGACATTTAAGGACTAAAAAACGATAATTTGTTCACTTTGCTGTTAGCAAATCATTTGGCGCTCTAGCTAACAGGAAGTCACTCAAGTGTCACAAAGTAATTTAGCCTATGGGTAGGTCAAACATCGAATGGGTGCTGGCCATTGGCCTAATCATATCACCTGTGTTGGCTTTATGTTTTTGGTCAAACATTTGTATTGATGTAATTAATAATTTTTCTAATTTAATAAAAATAATAATAATAATTTTCGAAAAAAACACATTTCTTGGGGGTGCTTAGGCAATCCTGGCTCCCCCCTGGCGCCGCCCCTGCTGAACATAGACCTGACCAACTGCAGTTACCCCAGACTATAATACTGCCCCCACAGGCCTAGGCACTAGGCATGATGGGTACATCACTTAATCCGCCTCTCTTCTTACCCACTCTGGAACAGGGTAAATCTGGATTCATTGATTTGGTTTTAATAATGCGTTGGACAGTTCTTAAACACATTTTAGTAGTTTCAGCATTCTCCTTGTTTTATTTGCTTGATGCAGGCCAATCATTTGACCCTGAAACTGATGAACATCCTTTCCACGACCACAGGATATGTCTTCCAACATGGTGGTTTAAGAATTGAGAAGCTAAACAACTTAAGTTATTAACTAGGGTTAAAGGTGGTGTATGTAAGTTTGAGAAACCGGCTCGAAATACACTTTTTGTTATATTCCATGGAATGCTCTTAACATCCCGATAGCAATGAATATCTGAAGTGCTTTGACAAAAAATCCATTAAAAAATGTCATCTAAGCCGTAGTACTGTAAAAAGCACGACCAATCATCTGAGCCGGCCCGGCTAAAGTAACTGGATGGCCTACCTGCCTGTCAGCCTTCCATCTGTGCACAAACTTATCTCGTGCCCTCATTGGTCATGTGCGTGTGTGTTGGAGGAGGGGCTCTGTAAGGAAGTGGCAGATTTTTTCCGGTTGTGTATTTTCAAATTCTAGCGCACTCAAGCTGCTTTCTCCAAAATTACCTAACTCACCTTTAATAGCTTGTTGCCAGCTGGAATATTTTATCTCTCCAGTAACTTTCCAATGGAAGGCTCTAACAGATTGGCTTAGTTAAATTCAGTTGGTGACTTTTTGTTTGGACGGGCAGTGTATATACACATTAGAAGTTAAAGGTCTCCTATTGTACTATTTTTAGGCATATATTATCAGATATGTAAAAAACATGTCTCTGAAGTGTTTTGCTCAAAATACCTAACAGACCACCCATTGTAGCATGCCTCATACGCCTCTATTTCAGCCCTGTTACTAAAGTCCTAATTCTGTGTCTGGCCCTTTAAATGTAACCAAGCTGCTACTGGCCACGCCCCTTTGGAGCATCCGCATGCAAGCAGTGAGCTCTGTGAAGAGAAGGCTGTCTACCAGCCCATATTTTAGTAATGTCGTCATGACCGGGTCAAATCTGGATGAGCTCCGTTGTTCCCCCGTTTTTAGAGATGTGGGTAAGGAGGAAAAGAGAGAGGGTTTTATTTTTCTGACACTTTGTGAGTCTCCTTACACACTGGGGACACATATTTACGCATAAAAGGCATTAAAAAGTGCATTTTGCATAATAGGTGACCTTTAAAGTAAAATTGTGCCATAAGAGTCCTTGCTATACAGCGTCTCATGCACAGGAACGAGCCGAGCGTCCTCCACAGCACAGGGACCCTCTGAAGACTCACAGTGAAGATAGCAGAACCTCTCTGTGTTTTCTATGTCGGCCCAAACAGTCCTGAAGCTTTTGATGGAAACGTTGATACTCTCTAGATATTCCATCAGACTCCAGGCTAACGCCATTAGCTCATCCAGTTTTAAGCCAGTGATCTTTAAACTTGACTTGTCCTAACATATCCAAAGATTGATGCTGCGAGTGAAGGGAAACTCAAAAGCTAGTGTCCTGTAGATATAGGAAGGAACATGTTTGTTCAGACAGTGATGGACGAGGATGGATAATGAATGAAAAGTCACACAGCCATTTCAGCTGGGCTGTATTTGACCATAAGAACAAATGGTTTTCAGTAATAGCTAGCATCTATTGTGTGTGTGTTTCCCCA